TCAAACACTGGTTGAGGAGTAACAATACATTGCAACTTTCATTTTGAGAGCTCAAACAGCTTAAACAGTCACTAAAAGCAGAGAAGGGGATAACCTAGGGAGACCAAGGGACAGGAAATGTGAGAACTGCCACAGGGACCAGACAAAAGGCCCTGATGCTCTCCTGATGCCTGTGCTCTCCTGACTGAGAACACTCCATCCACTGCAGTTCTCTGCTTCTAAGGCTGAAGCAATGTGGAGAAGAGAGAAGGAAATTTCAGGTGATCACAAATAATAGGAACTCTGTTCCCAAGTAGAGAGGTAATCCAAGAAAGGTGACTAACTGTGAAGACAGAGACTGGAAAAGACACACAAAGAATTGTAGAAAACTACAATTAATAAGGGGTTTTATCAAATGCCTTCAAAAATTAAGAGTGAACAAACAGCAACTACCTTACTACCTAATAATAGGGGATAACAAAAGAGATATGACACTAGCCCTAAATATGCAAGCTCTGGATCCGTATATACCACAGAGGCTGACTATGATTGGGGTTGGGTTAACAAGCAGCAGTGTCCAAAAAGGATAGAATTGTGCTGGCAGATGGTTCATTGTCCTCTCCCTATTATTGCCTGTGCTTGTGATTTGTACAGCACTATCTGGAACTGAAGTAATTAATTAAAGTCAGTTAGATACAATCTATGCCCTAATACAAGAGGAAGCAGGAAGACAGGTTTACCTCATAGTATTTCAAATACTAACCTCATCTCTAAGATTCTTATTTCTAAGAATTAGAAGATAAAAAGCTTTCATGATGTGATGCTCATAGATGTACACATTCTTTGATCATTATCAGAAATGGTTTGTGTAGGTACAGGAGGTGGAACTTTCATCCCTTTTGAAATACACAATATACTGAAAAATGCAAACATACCACAGGGAAAAAAAAAGATACACAGCTGAATACAAGGGCATCTCTCTGCAAAAGCTGTTTCATACCCAGTGTCACAGAGCAATCAAGGATCCTGCCAACATTTGAAGTGACAATAAGCTACCACAGAGATAACACAATCTGCTCATAGATTCATTTCCCTTCCTCCTAAAGCCCAGTGCTTCTTTAGAAAACAAAACTGCTGTGTAGTGAACTTAATCAAATGCTACCGGGAAGAAAATTTTTGTTGTTCTTTTTTCCCCTATTCCTGCTAAGAGTGGGAGACCCCAGTGACCTAAGGCTGGCAAGTACCATTGGACCTTCAGGTGCTCATAGTGCACAGATGCAGCCAAAAAGAAAATGACCATCAGAATTTTACTGTTGCCACTGAAAATGACAGTGTTTCCTTTTCTAAAGGGAAGAGAGAGAGAATTAGTCACAGCCTGTTCCTCCAATTTCTCTTTCAAGAAAAACCTTTTCAGTCGCAGATTCTATAGCCGTGGGGAGAGAGTTGAGCAAGGGGGAGGTTTATTATTATTATTATTTTGGTACATCGCATTAAATGCAAGACAGAAAAACACAGGAAATAATATCTATTGCAATCTAAGGCTTACACATACTTGATGGTTCATTCAACAGCTTTGTCTGTCTCACAGCCCCAGGCAAAAACATGCCCCTTTTCCTGCTGTTTCTTCATTTCATGCTATAATGCTTCCAATTCTCCTTTTAAAAATAATCATGTACGTTATCTACCTGTTGCACAGAATCTCCTTCCTATGGCCACTCATAACCTCTGCAGATGTTGCTCCATCATTATCAGTAAAAGCTTGAGTCATTTGGTTCACATAGGAAATAGCATCCGGGGAAAGTGCCTCAATGATGAATTAAAAAAAGAGGCAAGTTCTTCCTGCTATCTAAAAGGATGGTGGGGAGCCAGAAGAAAAACTGAAGGAAACAAATGCAGAACAAAGTTTTCTTTTTTTTTTTTTTTTGTTTTGTTTTGGTTTGGTTTTTTTTACTATGCTGTATAGTTTTGCTTCACAGCTACATTTCATTAATCAAATACAGCTCTATTTTAGCCCACCTGTATCTCTGAATGTGTCCTCTTGACATTACCTTCTTGATGTTCCTCTACCATTTCAGGCTGATGAAACTTCAAATATCTCAACTTCTCTTCCCTATTCCTGCTAACCACTCCTCTCTCCTATCCTCATACAAAAACCACTTCCCTTTCTTCTCTTAATTTACTGAACATTTTTTTTTCTCATGCCAGGTCCTTCCTGACAGTTCCTTTTATGATATTTTGTAGAATACAAATTAATTTAAAAAACACACAGATTGCTTCAGGACAACCTCAGAATCTTCTGACTTCAGAACTGGTTCTTTCCCTGATGCCATGATGATGATGAGTATTAAGCTCAGCTAAGTTTAACAACTCATGGGTGTGAACCTGACACTGGTTGAGTACCTCTGCTCCCACAGAGCTCACAATGTCTGTGCATCCTCATCACCTCTCAAAGGTCAAAGACCAGGTCAGGACAAAATCCTTCACATCGCTTCCTTTACCAACCCCTCACATTCACTGTGTTTTCCCCCACAAAACCATCTTTCTCCATTGACATGTACTAAATGCATTAAACAAACTAGATGAAAATATCAGGATCCTGAAATAAGAATCTTTTGAGAAAAAGAGATGCACATTTACAAAAGAATTTAAAATAAAAAAATATTATCTCATACACTGAGCAGAAGACATAAAAACTAGAAAGGGAGAATCCTACAGACAGCAAGGATGCTGACAAGTTACTAAGCATTGCCATCCCAGTGGGATTGTGCAGGCTCATCCCTGGATAACACAAAGCACAGCTCAACAGTCTGACTTTGAATGACGAAGATTCATACCTCATGGACTTTTCTGCACAGAGATGTGCTGCGTTAAATCCTGGGATGAAACATATTCCTCAAAATGAAAACACGGAAAATTCCTGCTAAATGCCAAGTCTGAAGCAGCCATGATTCAAAGGGACAACTTGAGCCGAACAGGTGCCAAGGATGTCTGTTCTCTGGATTGATTTACAAACTAAGATTCTTCTAAACCATTAGACGTTCCTCCCTTTTTTTTTTTTTTGACAGTGAGTTAAGCAGACAGTGAGTTAAGTTCAAGGTATCTCATCACCATCTGGAAACTCTACAGGCAAGGATATCTTCTCTGCTGAGCTTTTGAATAGAATTAGTTTTCATCCAGCTGAAATCTTTGTTCTGAAGCTGTACAATCCCTGCTCTCCTCCTTCGTAAGTCAGGTTTATGCCTTTCCATATGGTTTTGATATACTTGGAGACCAAGGAAAAAACAGCGTAATGCCTCAATGAAAGGACCCCCAAGATAAGAACTCACACAAAACATTATTCTCCATATCACTAGGTCCTGTGTTCTGCGTTGTCGCTCTTCTTAGCTATGACCTTTCACAAATGGTATCAGATGGCATTTGCCTTATCCAATAGCCTGTACCATTGTTCAGGGCATGCATGCACATACATAACATTAATTTCTCTAGCCTATTAATAAAAGCAGAAGAAAATAACAATGGCAAATTGGGTACAGATTAATACTGATCTGTTTATGCATTCTGCTTTCCTTTCTAAATTATATTTATGCATTTTCATTTCCAGTTTCTTCAAATATGAATATTACTGACTAATTATCTTGTTACTATGATGGACACAACCCAAAAACCTAGATAAAAGTATGTCATAATTTCAGTTCTGGTTATAAATTTTGTGGCTTCAGTCACAAGTGATTGAGGACTTTAACAAGCATGCCCAAGAAAATCTGACTGCAAATGAAGTTATCTTTATTTTATTTTCTCCATAAAGAGAAGGTTTAGCTCAGCATACTGTTTGCAGAGATACACAAAGCATAACGGCTTGTTTTGGGCTGCTGCCATTCAGTTTCATGCTGCATCCCCATCTAGAGTCATTAATCTTTTACCACCAGGAACACAATTAATCATGGTTTGAGTTGGTTGGGGTTTTTTTCCAGAGGAAAAGGACAAAATCATAGTAATTTTTATAGAAAACACTGCAAGGTACTCCATCAATAACAGTCATTTTTCTTCTCTGTACACACTAATAGATTTGCTCACTGAAACCTGCTTGTCTTTACAGTATACAAAAATGCAGTAACCTAAAATACATACAACCAATAGAAAAAACACATGAAGAAGCAGTCTGCTTAGTTGTGCTGTATAAGGCAATAAATGTCCATTTACTGATAGCTGGATCGTAAATAGAAAATGGATAGGATTGAATAAAAGGTGTTTATGTTACTTTGGAGGTTATTTTTCAGGTGGAAACACTTTTCCGTCTAGCTCACAACACAAAATTTTTGCCTAAACTATGATGCAAGTTTTGATTTAAAACCTATTAAACCAAAAATGCTACCAACTTCAATGGCAGTTTTACTTGAATCAGTGCATGGTACTTGTGAAATAAAAAAAATAAATATCTATGAAAGCATGTGAATCGATGTCATCCCTTCACCCCCAGCTTCACTTACATCCTAGGTCAGAAATGCCAATTGCCAACTGTATTAAAAAATCTCACTCATACTGCTCTCAGCCTTTTAGGTCTGAGAACTTACTTGAGCTCAGCTCTTAGGGTCAATGAGAGTTCTGCCTGAATACAAATGACAATCCATCTACCTTCCACCCCTTCAAAATATGACATTTCCCACATGGATTCATATACATCTTCATTGTTTTCCTTAGAGATTTTATAACCTACTAATTCTTTAAAATTAAATGTCTCAAGCTTTTCTCCTTCCTTCTCTTTGTTTTTAAGAGACACACAGAAGACAACTGTAAACTGCCCCCTTTTTTTCCCCTTTTTTTTTTTTTTTTTTTTTTTTTTTTTTAAATCCATAAGGTAATTGGCTTTCTGGAGAACTAACTGAATTTTCCTAATTTAATTTTAAAAGATGCTCCATAATACCCATTATAGCAAACACTGTCCTGCAGATTCGATTAGTAGGCTCTCTGGACCTGCTTATTTCTGAATTGAAAGTGCAGTACAGCCTGGATAAATGAATTACCTGAGCAGCGGAACTTCTTGCTCTTGATCTGGCTGATTCGTTTGTTGGCAAGGCGACGCGGATTGCTGCATCGAGCGCCGCTGGTTTCTATCGGATTATCCTGCAGGTAATCAGCCAGCCACTTCAAATGGCAGTCGCACACAAATGGATTCTGAGCTAAATGTCTGCGAGAAGGATGGGATGTTTAATCAGAAGTGACCTGTGACACTGTACTCCATCATTGTTTTCACAAACGCAAACCTGAAGAGTAGAGTAATTGAATAAGCTTCCAAAAACCCAGGCCTGGCGGAAGGCACACAGAGCTGCACATGAATGGGAGAATTCTGTGAGCTATCACATTTCGTAGCTCATTAAGCCTGCTGCAAGTCCTTTCACAGAGGAAACAAAAATTAAGATAGCAAAGCCTGCTTTAAAGGACACAGGCCTCCTGTCTACAAAATCTAATGTTTTCTCCTGAGAGCCTGGTATGTTGCCTTTAGGGAGAAATGCACCTTTTTAGATGCACCTGACCTGAAGATCGTTTTGTATCCCAGTTTAAAAGAAATTTTATTGGCAAGCTCAGTTTCCTAGGGATCACAATGCAAATTAGTAAAGTGCCTTGGATCTGTGGGCAAAGCCAGAAGGGATCCAGAGGTCTTTTCTCAAGAGTGAAATTGATATTTACACAGACTCATCATGTGTAATAGTATTCCCTTTACATGTATTTTTTCCTGGATCAATTTTTTTTTTTTTAACTTTTGAGACTGAACTGTTTATGGAAGATACAACTTGACTCTATCCTTCACCAAAACTTGCACAACATATTTCTCACACAGCTGGAAGTAGGTATTATAGCATTGATTTAAACTGGGTATTTAGACTGTGTGAAGTCTGCTGGAGTATTTTAGAGAGAAACAGCATTTCTCTGCTGCTGTTACAATTCTCTCTGCTTGACAAAGTTGAGCACTATCTCAGGAGGTCTGTCAAGCCTTTCTCAGAGCCTGATTCTGATCTCAGTGAAGTTAACTTGCACCAGTCCCTCTAACTTCCGAGGGAGCAGGACACGACTCTTCAGTAACTGCAAAGAAGTTTTAAAAAAGGCAGATGTTTTAATTTGGTTTGGACAGAGGTGCAAAGTTATAGCCTCCCACGAACTCTGCTCTGTTACTGTGTTTTTTCCACCTGTAGAAATGTCTTTTCTTTTCTGTTTGCAGTTGTATTTATGAACTGTCACTTAACAGAAGAAGTATAAAATACAACAGGGTCTGGGCTGTCAAGGAGTGGGAAGTGAAAGCATACACAGCAGAAAGTGCCTGAAGAAACTAAAGATTACTGTTGTACTAGAGCCATTCCTGGTGTGAAAGATCCAAAGCACAAACAAGCACATAGAGAAAGGAGATGGGACTGGTTTTGTAGCTCTAGAAAAAAGGCAGAAAATGGCAATCACTTGGAGTACTAAAAACGGAAGAAGGAATCAAAACATCTCATGAAAAAACATCTCAGTGTGAAGCAGCAAGTCCATTCTAAGTAACAGCCACCAGCAGTGCAAATAAAACCCCATGGAAACCAAGGACAAAGTTTTATACCTTAAGGGTGTTGCCTGCTGTTTAAATTGACAAATCTTACATATGTCTGTAAATGAACCTTGTTTACACAGATATCCATGTACATACATTGCACAGTGCAGCTGGGGGAGTTGTACATGATTATTCTAACGCCTTAATGATTTGCGGCAATATATACTGGCTAGATATCTGTTGGAAATGAAGGTTGTGCTTGTGGCTGCCTGAGGAGGCAGCAGATATCCTGCTGCTAGAAACGATCTCTATTAGTTCCTTTTTATATGAATTGAAACATCTATAAAACTAATTTGGACAATTCATTTCCAGTATTAAAACAGATACGTGCATGTGTCTATATACATTTCCAGTACTATAGCACATGTATGTATATACACATATAATGTGCATATATATTCCAGTATGTGTATATATATACAAACACATATTTAAATACTGGAAATACATATACTTACATACTACATAAACACACAGAGCCTTATATCTATATATGCACCCACAAATATATATAAACACACATATACAATATTGGGTGAGGGCGTTCTTCCTTCTTTGTCATTTTTGTACACCTTGTTATCTTACTACTTACAGCTTTAGGATTAAACCTTCTTCTGTAAAATATCGAGTAATTTCTATGCTTTTGCTTCCAATTTTGCTTCTGATCCCTCTTCTCCTAATGCCTCCAATTCAAAGACTCTCAGAAAATGTTTATTATTTAATTTATGCAACACTTCTTTTTCTTGCTCCTTTTATTTCTGTCAGAAAAGGAGGGGCTACTACCTTGGGGTCTCTTCCAAATTGTCTTAAATGTCGGTTGCAAAGACTTTGAAAAGCCACACAATATCTTTGGGGGAAAATGAGAGAGCTGTCATTTATGATATGCCTGTATACTCACAGAGTCTGGATCGATCGGAGAGGTGCAAAGAGCCCCTTGCTGATGGTCTGCAGTTTGTTGTCATAAAGAGATAGCAGTTTGAGATTATGCAGACCTTGGAACGTGTTTACCCTCAGGCAGTTGATCTTATTGGCATTGAGAAGCCTGGAAACAGAGGAAAGGTTTATAATTCATTAATCTTGTAATAATCAAATAAAGATAGACTGAACTTTGGGGTTAAATCTAAAAAATATTAAACCAGTCACTAAAGCCAATCAACATTTAAAGGTCTTCTTTTGCCTGTTAGATTAAAAAGGTGAAAAAACCACAGTCAACGTTAATATTCTCATAGCTGGGGAATATACAGACATGTAACTGCTTGCTATCTTAAAAAATGTCCCCACAAAAATTTTTTTATGCCCCCCCATTTGTTCAAAATTCTACATGAATATTTAAAGAAGTCTTCAGCTTAATATACACAGAAATGGTAAATACTCCCCACCTTGCTATTCCATGCATACACTTATACACAAAGTCCACAATTAACCTTTTTTTAAAATTTTCTCTAGCAGCAGCTGTCTTAATTCTAACTGAAATTCTGGAAGTTTGACATCTTTTGATAAGTTCTGCAGGGTTTATTTGATAATGGAAGGAAAAGAAACATGATTCTCCTCAGAGACAAGAAGAGAAAAGTGCAGGGTCTGGACTAAAACTTATTGAAAGGCAAGCTTGCTTCATACCTAAGGACAGTCAAGCAGTGGAACATGTTGCTCAGAGGAGCTGTGCAGTCTCCACTGTTGGATGGTTTTGAGATGACACCAAATAAAGCCATGAGCAACCTGCTCTGACCTAATAAGGCAGCTCTGCTTTGAGCAAGGGTTCTCCAGTCACATTGGCTAGGGAGCACCTGAGGTCCCTTCCAACCTCCATTGTCCTACAGCTCTATGAACCTGCTCCATTCCAGCTACACCAGATTCCTGTGCAGTTGTGGAAAAGCAGCACAAAGGCAACTTACATCCTTTTTTTATATATATATTTTGCACATGTACACAGCAGCCAGCTGGCAGAACTAATCAGTTTAGCCAGAAAATCTTAGACAGTACTTGTGCAAGTTCTCTTAGATTATACAGCCTAAGTTCTATCACCTATAACAAGTATACAGAATCTGAACAAGAAGCTGGACCTCCCTCTGAGACAATCAAACATGAGAACACTTACACTGTCATTGTCATCTACATATGTGCTAGTTTGCACTTAGAAGGAAAATAGGCAGGAAATTACCTATTCTTCTTATAAAAGCCAAAATCCACATCTTTTGACTACTATCAGCCTGAGAAAAATGGTACATCACAAACAGTATACGCTGTGAACTCAGTTCTCTTGATCACAAAATTCTTGCTACTTTGTCAATGACTCTGAAGGACTTAATATTGCAACATTGTGGCTCTCTATGAGGCACCATATTAATACCAAAACAGAAGATAAATGTATGTAAAAAGGAAAAGACATCCTCCATTTCTCAGCGAACAAATATACCACCTTAAACACACCTCTACCAGCCCAGAGAGCTTCCATTTTCAACAAAATGCACATACACCACTACAGACAACAGGGCAACCTATCAGGGAAGAAATGCATGCTTGTTAGCTGCACATGATGCTCTTCTTTTGCTCCAAAAAATAACTTCAGAAGGTGCTTCCTCTGTGTAGCAACCTGTCTTTGCATTGCTGAAACCTTTGAAACATTGTACACTCACTACAGCTCTCTGCTCATACTGTCATTTTGGCAGAGCCTCATTATTGCAGTAAATGGTGGCAGTAATTGTGATATAAAAGATGGACACATACTTGAGTAGAGCCCTTTTCTCAAGGAGAACAAGAATGCAGTGCATTGGGTATGAGAGGGCACCAGAGCAGAATTCACCTTTCCAGACAACAGAAAAGCCAATATCAATTTACCTGAATCTTCTTTGTGAGTCATGGAAAAAGAAGTTTGATGTTAGATAAGAGAAAATCCCAGAGAAGGCAATGATGGATAAATGAACTAATAGCTAAAATAATTTTATGAAATCATAAGCAGCACCAGTATGACCCCTCTGTAACCTGTATATCTGTGACTCATAATTATGTGACACCGAATCCACACTCCGGTTGACTCCACCAGAAGCAGAGGCTAGAGGAACAGTTCCTGCCATGCACTCAACTTCTGAGATCTTTGGTCCAACAGCAAACATCAATGTCACCTCTTACTACTTGCTTCTTATAGCTGTTCCTATGTCCGAGCCAAAGCAATCTTCATTCTCTCTCGGTTCCCAGGCACTATGCCTTTCTCTATCTAGCCTGTATTATTATTATCCTTTCCATAAAGAACAAGTTAACAAGTCATGAGAACCCAGAATCAGCTACTGAGTGTTGAACAATATCCCTAGACATGCATTACAAATCCTCCAGTTTCTAGCCCGTCCTTGCACACTGGTTCCACGTTGGTTTTAGGCAATGTGCATTAGCTTAGATTGGTTATTCCACAACAGAGGCTTAGTACCTAAGTCATACAGGAAGAAAACTGAAGGCCAGTATATACTTTGATTTATTTTGCTAGATGCTAATTGTTTTCTAATATTTTAGTAATACTTTATGTTGCAAGCAGTACTTGTAACAAAGCATAAAGGAAAATGAAAATAATCCCAGCAATAAGAGCATTTAGAACTGAACTACCATTGTATTCTTATATATGGACAACCAGCATGTCTTTTTGTGAACGCACAGCAGAGTTGTGTTGTGTGGATGCTATTTACTCATGTGTGAAGAGTGGGCTTGAAGTCTAACCATCTTTGGTCCCACTTACTAAACCCTCAGAGCAAAGCTGAACTAGAACCGTGGTGAATACACAGGATTTGAATTCATTCGCTGATTAGTTTCAACAAAACATGAATAAAACCAATGTTGGAAATCAGAATTTACAATGTGACAAGTTTTCCTGGCATGGATTTTCAATGACTAGATTCATGGTGATATGATCTGTGACATTTCTGTGAAAGCCAGATACCAAAAATGAGAGAAACTGATCCTATATACAACCAGAAACAGAGGCACACTCTCTCCTTGCATCAGAGAAAGTAATTTGCAACAGGAAAGTGCTTATGCAGACTGTTCAGACATGGGAATTCAGGTACTACATTGCTTTTCTGAGGTGACAACACCTATTCTGTGTATCATCTATACAGTATATGTGCAGTACCTAAAGAGGACAGATGGTGTGCTCAACAGTAATGCAGATGTGGCCACACTCGGTGGATCATGAGATAGATTCATGTCCTATTCTGATCAGAATTGGGGAGAAAAGAGGGGAGGGGGGAGTGGAAAACTGTGAGAAAGCAGAATAAATAATCCCTAAAAACTTTTTCCTCCTACTTGCTGTGAGTTAGAGGATGACTTTTGGCCAGAAGCATTAAGGTTTATATCCCTTTCAAAACTCTTGGATATTTTAAAATACCTCCTTGACAGATATTCCCTTACATAAATTCCAAATCTTTGCATAAACTTTCTTCACTGTCACATCCCTCCTAATGGCATCTAATTATTAATTAGGTATACAAGGCTGGCCTCACATAGAGTTTAAAGTGGTTATAAGAATTTTTTTTTAACACTACCACAAAGGCAGATGAGAAAAACATATTCTAGAAGGCAGAAACACTGATCTTCCTTAAACACTGAAGCATGCTGCAAAGTGTACTAAGGGTTGCTTTTCATTGGACTCGCATCAAAAGGGACAATACTAAACGCTGAGTCTTATTTTAGCAGGAATTACATGGTATTTATTTTGCAACAATTTCTGGTGAAAGTAAATTCCACTAATTTTCCTATTTTGTTATCAGCTTGATTGGATGAGATTTACACACGGCTGCCAGATGTGGTGCAGGAAGTTAAAAATTCAAGTAGAAATAAAACCGCCTGCTACCCTGAAGGATGATGGATTATTAACTCAAGTCTCCATTTTCATCCCTCTGGATATGTTAAAAACATAAAGAAATCTCTTCCAAGCCTAGGACCACCACAGAATACAGAAGAATGGTTAAAGACCTTGTGGTTTACACGCCATCGAAAGCAATGAGCAGAGCAGAGCAGTATTGCAATTCCATGAACCCATTTCCTGAAAAAGTGAATTTGTCCCTACACATTGAAATAATAATGTGTTTCAGCTCAGACCCTTGAACGAATGTGCACTGAATTGGCACTGTAATTGTATCAGATGCTCATAAGCACCATCTGCATAATTAAGATGGTCCCATAATTGAATTATATGCCCAAGCACAGTGTCAAGTGATTAACATTTAAATAACATTTTGAACTCCAAACCCAAAATGATTGAAAAAAATTGTTTTTAAAGAGCAAATGGGGATGTTTATATGGCTTTTACCCTCAGCGATGCTTGTATTTTCAGCTCAGTGAAGTCAAGTAATCCAACTATCAGCAAATAACTCCGTAACTCGGAGAATGAAAGAGCAGAGAGCAGCCTAGCAACCTTAACACATGCTGGAGACTGCCGGTTGATTTCTGCTGCTACAGGATAGACTAGAAATCACCCTAGGTACACTAATGAGCAAAAAAAAAAAAAAAAAAAAGTCAGGGTGAAAAGCTGCAATGAGCCACTGGAAAACTTCTGTTTCTTTTTTCACTAGCTTTGTGTTTTGACACCAATGACAACATAATGAGAATGGAAACGTTCGGCATCCCATGAACTGGCTGGCACATCCCACATGCCAGACTCCACCAGGGAAAATGAGAACCCACCAGAAAAAAAACAGATGTAAAATGAATAGGAGACTGGAAGAGAACTGGGCAACAGTTTCAGATGGGTAACAGCAGAACACAAACTGAATGTACATCATTTTTATAGAATAACAATAGTCAAAGGTTTCACCTACATTCAAAGGCGCTATAGGGCAGCAAAGAAAGGACTCGTGGCAGAAAACATTCCTTAGGATATACAATACCTGTTGCAAAAAGTCAAAAAGCTTTTTTGGTGTGTTTTCTTCAACATTTTCTCTTGAAATTTATAGGGAATCAAACATCATCTTTGATTTAACACAACTTATCATGGGAGAACAGCTGAAGTACCAATATGGAAGTATCCAGTCAAATGGTCCATCATCCCAGCAGTCCATG